TAGCAACAAAGATAAAAGGCACGGAGCTACAAAATTATTCTCACTAAAATCCACCCAGCACATAACAACACATGACAAATAAAAGACATTGAAAAAGAAATAAAAAACAAATCTAACAGAAAACACTCGAACAAAAATTGTTCTAAAACAAGTTAGGAAAGGATACGGAGGTATAATACACTCTACATACTTTAGCATTTGTTGCGCTTTAAGAGACATGTTTTTTGTTTAATTTCAATTGGAACCTCCATTGAAATTTTCAAAGAATTTGATGGAGAAAATTTTAGGATTTATAAAGATGAAATTAGCTTTAACCATAATTGTGGGGTACGTTTTTTTTATTCCCTTAAAAATTACTTTCTAATTATAATTAATGTGGTGGTGTGGGTGTATACTCTTTTATTATTATTATTTTTTTTGAAAAAAATACTATTTCTCTTTATAGTTAATATAGGAGTGTATTAATGGGGGGGTTTTTTTTTTTCTAATTTCAATACAAGGTAAAATTATAATAACCATAAATTAAGAATTAGTGGAGGTACTAATAAATTTTTAGGATCCAAATATTAAGAGAAAATTACAAATTCCGTCTTCTTAATTACTTGACTTACTAAAAGTACTATTTCTGAAAAATTCTACCACTTGTCTGGTTCTAGTATAAAAGGTAAAAATATATAGATTAATGTTAAAAAATAAAAATAAAAAGATTTCGGGGATATTTTTAAAAAATTTCCAAATATTAATTACTCTACACAATTTTGTAAAGCCCAATTTTCAGGATCGATCCAGTAGGATAATCTTGACAAATACCTTTTAAAAGTGCATTAGTCAGGATTTTTACTCTTTACTCTTGATTCATAACATTTTTAGTCAAATAATTACACTAACAAAAGAGTATTTATTAAAAATAAAGGATAAATATCTAGATTTATGCACTCTTCAAAGTAAATTATCTATTTTTTCAATTTAGTAACTCACTACTACCAGACAAGCCCAAAAAGAAAAAAAAAAATATATCTTGTGTTAATACGGACAAAATTCACTTCCATGCAAATCCGTGGTCCTGCTCAATTTGGAAGTATCAGTTACTCCAATCTCATGCTTCAAGAGTCAATATCTCACAAGCCGACCAGCCTTTCCTTTCAAAGGGCCAGAAAATTCAACCTCGCACGCGCTTCCATTCTTGAAGCCTGTAGATCCCCAGACATGGGAAAACAGCTAATTCATTGCCCACACTCTCAAAGCTGTGTATGAAGAACTCTTTTGCACTTTCTAGAATTGCAATTAGAAGATATTGGCCGTGTTTAGAATTAATCTCATTTTTATTTTTCACGTTTTTTTAAAAAAAATAAAAACGTTTTTAAAACAGCGTTTAACGCAATAAAGATAAAAAATAAAAATAAAAATGATTTTTTAATTTAGTATAAAATGATAAATAAATGAAAAACGACGTTTAGTCGTTTTTCATTTTTTGTTTTTGTTTTCTCTTCTCTCGACCAGAGAAAGAGAAAGAGAGACATTAATGAGTTTTTTTACACTGAAAATAATCTCTTGATAAAATTATCAAATGCATTTTTAAAAATAATTTTTGTCTGATATTAAAAACGTTTTCATTTATATTTTCATACAAAAATTAAAATCATTTTGAAACGAGTTCCAAACGCGCTCATTGAATTTGGAATCATTTGTGTTTACATATGTTTACAAGACTCCAGGCCTTAGAATTGGGAAGACAATTGCGAGGCATTGTTATCATGTCCCATTGGCTCCAAATATATATTGAGATAACGCTCTAATATTTATTATTTACATAAGCACTATTTTATAAGAGTTAGTTTGCCTAACAATATACAAGTACCACTGTAATCATTGAAAGCACCAACTCTGGTGTAAGAGTAACACAATAATCAATCCTCCCAAAAATTACAACAGATACGAGAGGCGTAATGCTCCTGCACATTCTTCCTTCTTTAGAAAAATGCACCCTTTAGGCCGAACGACTTAAACTTGGGAATTCTGCTCTGATGCTAACTGATGCAAGAACGACGCAATTATTCTTCTTAAAATTTACAAATTATAGAAGATGCGCAATAAAATCATTTAAATGCTAATTTAAATTAGTATTGGACTCGTAAAATCTACCCAAACACTGTTCTTTGGGTCTTAACTTCTAAGAGTCCCTTACAATTCATGAACACACCCAACAAAGCGCGGTCATTCTTACATACATGAATTGTTTCATAGCTCAGATCCAGTTTACTCAACAACTTATTTGCCTCGTAATGCGATGTAGGTAACTTGTTTCTTTCAGGAACTGCATCTCTTAGTAGCTTCAACATTTCATCCATGCATTCATTAGGCCACTTGTACAACACTTTAAATGCATTAGTTTCACTAAAAAATACAACGATGAATACTTAGTGCAATCCGGATACAATCCGACTTGGAGCTCGGATAAGAGATCTCTAAATTCATCGTAATGGGTATTTTCTATAATTGTTTCTGTCTCACCCATTATCTCATGATCATCACTAATCTCAGCCACATCATTTAGCACTGCAAACATCTCGTCAACAGGTTCACTGACAACTGCAGTAGCAAGACGTACTTCACCATGGTGAATCCATGTGGTGTAACTTGTATCAAAACCCCATCGATGTATGTGCGCTTTCACTATTTCGGGTGAAAACATCTCATGATTTCTACACTTGATACATGGACAACTAATACCCCCGAGTAAATTTACATAATTCTTTCCAACCTCAATAAAAGCACACAAATCATCACAGTACTCATCGGACAACTGGTTCCTTAAATGTATCTAACTCTTGTCTATAGGCATCCCCACTACGAAGAATTTATAAAGTTTTATCAAATTTTATGAAACTTAACACAAATTATTTTATAATAAGTATTTAACATTAGTTTATTTAATTATTTAATTATTAATATAATCCTAATTAAAATTTTTATCTAATTTTTTAATTATCACATAATCATCATTAAACAAATTTCATACAAATTTTAATCTAATTATCAGATATTTCGGTTTCAATTCTAATTTAAAATTCACAATTCTAAATTCAAAATCACAAACTATATCCAAAATCTAAAACAAAATCATAAACCATAACAAAAATACCAAAATCAATTAACAAAATACCAAAATATTTACTCACAAAATCCAAACACACAAATTCCGGGGGTTGGAGAACGGTAAGGCAGCAGGAAAACGAGGGTGCCGGCGGCCGGAAAATTGGAAAGCGAGGGGGAGATGAAAACTCCGCACTTTTTGACTTTTTTTCTCCACAAATGAAAAATTTAAGGAGAGAACAATATTTTTAAGCTATTTTCAGTGCTTTTGGACGGTTTTTGGAGGTTTTGGACAGCGAGAGTAAGGGAAAATGCGAGAGGCTCACCGGGAAAAATGGCGGAAGGAGGTCTGCGATTTCGTTTATGCAGGTAGTTTTTTGCGACAACATTGTGTCGTCGCAACAAAGATTAAATCGTCGTCGCAATTAATGTTAAAATGACGGCGTTCTTTTTCAGCTTATGAATATTTCTGAGAATATTCTTAAGGAATATACCCTGATTCATTTTTTGCGACAATAATTTAACAATGTCGTCGCAAATAATTTTGAGGAAACCGCCCAAGTTTCTGCCCTTTTTTTTGGGAAAAATTAAATCCCCAGTTATTTGCAACGACATTATTAAAATTATCGTCGCAAAAAACAGTCGTCCTTGATAGAATTTTCTATAACCATTTTTTCTGATGACACGCTTCATCGCAAAAACTGTCACTTTGAAAAGAATTTTCTGGAAAAAAATTTTGCGACGATGTTTTACATCATCGTTACAAAAAATAAAGAAATATCTGGAACCTATTCGCGGGAAACCGCCAAATTTTCTGCCTCTTTTTGGCCACGTCACAGCCAGCTGTAACCATTAATATTTACGACGAAAAGTCCTCGCAAATAATGTACAAACTGGCGCAAAAATTGTTGGCCCCAATGGATATTAGCGACGACATGTCGTCGCTAATAATCCGTTCAATTTTTGGCGAAGACAAGTCATCGTAAATATATAAATTTTGTGCGACAACAAATACTTAATTCGACGCAAGTTGTTCAAAAATTTTGTTTTCTTTTAAGCGACGTCATGTCGTCGCTAATACTATAATTTTAGCAATGATAAATGTGGTTACTAATAACCCTTTTGTTGTAGTAATGGACGGTCCAACCCAATTGGCAACACTAATTTAGCTATAGGATTGTTCTTTTATGGTGTTCGAGACACCATAGCCACATTTGTCACTAGCTTCTTTAGCATATTTCTAATAGTCACATTTATCTTCTCCATTATTGCCAGGTAATTCAAACAAATGTATATTGAAAAATATTCAGTGAACTTTATTTAAATCATTTATCATCTATTTTGGATTCGAGAAAGTTGATTTGCATACCAATATTACAATACTAATATTTGTTTTCCTTGAAAATGTTTGTAGAATTGAGAAGTTGAATCTACATTATAAGGTGGGAAAGCCAAAACTATTGGATAGGTAAACATATCTATAGTACTTATGGATAGGTAGAAAACAAAAGAACTTAATGAAAGAACAGGTATACGTATATACAAACAGATATATAAGATTTAATTAGCTCTTCATCTAAGTTCTCTTCATCTAAGTTTCTGTACCAAAATATGGAAGGGAATCACTTAAGATTCAGAGGAACTCATATTACATAAGCTTTTACAAAAGAAAATGAATTTATACCTCAACATGGACCTGCCTACTTCTGATAATCTTTAAACAACCAAGTTTGACTGGAGTTTCTTTTCAGTTTTCACATTAATAGACTTTTCAACAACTTAGCATTAGTATTAATTAAAAACATAGAATATTACTTGTCCAAACATATAACAACCACCTAACGATTTCTTCCAATGGGCTTCACCTAGTATAGAAGACACTTATCCGGCATTGTCCAGATCTCTGATCACGTGCCCTGCATCAACTGGGTTGTCAACTCCGATTCTCCATCTTCTTTCTTTTTCGCCCCCCACAGAAAGGAGCATAACCCAGCGAGAATGAGGATCATGCCAACCAAACTGGTACAATACAATTCCAATTCACAATATGAGAATGCTTTCATTACTGATATGTGGATCTTGCGTATTAAGATAATTGTTATCCATTTAGAGTGAATTCAAATGTGAATGAAAGAAAAATAAAACATACCTCCCGACTCTGATGGCTTCACCAAGTAAGAGTGCTTCTGTTACGGTTACAAAAATTAGACCGACGGGGTTGAACATAGATGGATAAGTGGGGCCTAGGATTGAGATCACCCACGAAAGTAAGCAAAATGTTGCGGCTGAATAAAGTGTTCCCTGCACAAATACACAAACTTTAAACGCAAAATTCTGACGGTAATATACATTGATTTATCTCGAGTTTACAAACATTGTTGAAACTCAGAAAGGCGGAACTTAGAGAGCAACATGCAACAGAAAATCAACAAAACTCAAACTTAAATAATTTCTTTGACATTGATTACATAAATTTAGGCTTAAGCGTCCTAATTCTACTATTCTCATCTATTTTCATAAACTCCAGAAGTTCTCGGTTGAAACATAACGACTTGGAAAAGCATATTGCTAATCTATTTTCCAGTTCTTTTTCCCATAAGCCAAACAAGCATCCAACAAACACAGTTTTGTTTTTTTTAGAGTCTTTACTGGTTTATGTTTGTTTTTTTGTTCTGTTTTTCACACGTAAATGGAGCGGGATACTGTTTGCCTCGCCTCATTGACATCCCTAAGCACTAAATGAGTTAGAAATTGTAGGCTTACCGAGCAAACTATGGCGAGCAGTTCTAAATTCCAGCCGAGCTTCCATGCAGCAACATGTCTATCGAGGCAAAGGCCAATTACTGCTGATTGCATGGATGTTATACCACTTTGCAGCATAATTGCCGTATATTTAAAAGAAAATACCGCCAAGAGTTTACGCTGAAAGAAAGAGAACAAAGAACTTATATAATATTAAAACTACTCTATAATTTTTTTTTATGTAATTTTTATATAGTGTTAATAATAAGAATTAGCTAAAAAAAAAAAAAAGGAATTCAAAATAAATGAAATGAACATGAATCTTTTGTTCTCTTAAAGTGGCCAGCCACGTACCTGCACTATGAACCATAATGCACGTGACAAGCATGATGCAATGATCAAGGTTGCGCCGCGCACCCAGTGGTCATGGGAGTTCTGGGTGGTGGCCGTATGAGAGTCCCCGTGTTGGTGGTGGTAAACAACATACAATTCTTTTCCCTTGTTAAGAGATGCAACTAGTGCTCCAACAAGCGACAGCAACACTCCAAAAGTCTTTATTTTTCCTTGTCTGGTTCGCAGGTCTAATTTCTCTGTTCTGCAAGTACATATTCAATTTAAAATTAAAATAATGAAAATTTGTATAAAAAATTAGCAATAACGATTAACAAAGTTTTTAATATACATGTCTTACCTAGTGATGAGTGACAAGAGAAAAGTGAATATGGGAATTAAGTTGTATAAGTTAGTGGCAAAGGTGGCTGTGGTATCATGGAGACCATAATAGTAAAATGCAGAATCGGATATCCTGCATTGCAAATATATATTGTAAACAGTTTGGTATATTTTGTTTTTATATGTATAGTCAAAACCACAAGTTATATATGGCTTACACGATTGCAGCACTAACAAAAAGCCAGAAGCAAACTGCGTAACCAAATTTCTTTTCAGTAGATCTGCAAACTAAAAAAATAAGATTAAATTAAATTTAAGTATTGAAGACACTAGGAGTAACCTCCATTTGCTACAGGCAATAAAAACATTAAAAAGAAAGCCAAATGAGCAAATTAAAAACTAATAAACCTCTCAAAGTAGTAGGCAAGAGGGGCAATCGATAGAGCAGAAGCTGCATTACGGTAAGTGATTAGCGCGTAAACGAAGGTTCTGTCCTTCATAATCACTCTGGATAATATGTGCAGTGTTGCTGTGAATACTTGTGCCAGCAACACGGTAGCCAAAACTAACCAGCTCGCCAAAGCCATTCTAGGGCAAGTAACACTATATCAAATTAGATCTTTAATATTATATTTTCAATTTCAAGGCTATATCTCAGTTGAATAAGTGGATTTAGTAATTCAAACATGCATGAGATCTTTAGCCAAAATAAATGTAAGATATGTTGCTTCAGTCTTTAATTGTAGTGCTTATAAGATTTTTAGTTTTTGAATTAGATTTTTAGTACTATTGGATTTAACTGTATTATCTATTATGCTTGATCAAATCCGCTTCATTTGCTTTTTGGCATTTGTTGGATTTTACTCATTTACTTTTTCTTTTGGTAGTTTGTTATGTACGAATTAATTGGGGTTGCTTAGCTAATATTGATGGCGCAAGTAGTCTATACTTTCCCTTTTCCATTCCCTTTTCTCATATATATACATTTTTTTAATCACTTTAATCTCATTCAGCAAGAGTGCTTTGTCTATGTCAAATGCTCTACTTTCTTTCTGAATTTTTTTCAAGATTCTTTATGTAATCAATAATAATTCACTTCAATTATTTGTGGATGCCAATATTACTGTGAAATTATGGATAAGGTGATTTAGAGTTCCCAGTACAGTAAAGTAGTGTGTATCTTAGTTTTTCTCACATTATTTTATTATAATAATAATAATATTTTTTTTTTTTTGCTAAAGCGCGTCGTTAATTAATTGTGTTATTATATTAATATATGCTTTCAGTAGAACTTTTAGCATTATTCATTGTGTTTTTGTTCAAGCGTATGTGTTCTGTATAGTGAAGGCCTTTTACATCTCATGCACATCTTAAACGCTTAATTATTCTATTTTTTCCCCCGCAGTTAAATTTATTTTTTCTTCTCATTTATTTTATAACATTTGTTAAATGCTTAAAAAATATCTCTATTTTATCAGAAATAATCTCTTAAATCTACAAATATTATGTAAAAAGTAATTAAATCAAAACAAGCTAATTAAAGATTTTGACTTTTATACAGTGTGTATATATATATATATATATTATACGGAAAGAACAGTTTCATTGACCCCCCCCCCCAAAAAAAAAAAAAAAAAAAAAGACGACAATGGAGCTAGGAGACTGGCCTCCACACCTCATCACTAGACAGAACAGAAACTGAAATTATGAATCTAACTATCCCAAAAAAGATTAAAAAAAAGAAGCTAGCATGGTCATACCTTGATTAATTCTGGGCTTAGAGAGAGAAAGGAGTGCTCCGTCCAACCTTTGAGAGAGAGAGAGAGAGAGAGAGGGAATCGGTAAATTTAAATCAAGTATATAGGTTATGAGCAGAAGAAGAAGAGAGATGGTAGAAGAGAATATATATATATATGAAAGTTTGAATATATTCATGAGGGTCAAACTAATTAAATTAGGGTTGAAGGTCCTGATGTGCTGTATCGTAGTCGGCTCCATTCACTGTACTATAATTGGGTTCTCTCTCGTGTTGATCAAGCTTTAATTTATCATGCTGGTAATATAGGAAATAAAGCTGATGAGATCACATGCATAACAATAGAAATTAGCAAGGCTTCATTTGGTTAGTGAGTGATCTGGCTGGAGGAGGAGAGTAACTCCTTCGATGTTAAAGCCGATATTTCTCTGGGTGCGTCATAAAATAACAAGAATGTGTGAAATTCTTTAACCAATTATCTTAAAACAAAAGGAAATTACTAGTTTTCTTTCTTTTCTTGTGCACGGAGTAATTACATCTGCATTAATGACTGATTTTAAGCGTACAAATGTCGCAAAATTTCTACAACTTAAGGTTTTTCAAAGGAAGAATATATTATTAAAAAAGAGGAGAGATCTTCTCTTTAAGGAATATATATATATATATACACACACATAAGGTGGATGTCACATCACGGAGACTATAAGAGTAAAATGCAGAATTAGATGTCCTACATTGTAAATATATATCGTAAACAGCTTGATATATTTTGTTTTATATATATAGTCAAAACCACAAGTTATATATGGCTTACACAGTTGCAGAATTAGCACAAAGTCAGAAGCAAACTGCGTAACTAAATTTCTTTTCAACAGATTTGCAAACAAAAAAAAAAACATTAAATTAAATTTAAGTATTAAAGACACTAGGAGTAAACTCCATCTACTACAGACAGTAAAAACATTAAAAAGAAAGTCAAATGAGCACATTAAAATACATATACGTTCAATTTTATGTTTTTCTTTCTTTCTTTTGTGCATGGAATAATTGCATCTGCATTAATGACTGCTTTTAAACGTACAATTAATGTCGCAAATTTTCTACAACTTAAGGTTTTCCGAAGGAAGAATATATTATTAAAAAGAGGAGAGATCTTCTCTTTAAGGGAAAATATATATATATATATATATGTATATATATATACACACCATTTTCAGGGGAGGTGCAGCTACCGGAGAGGACTGAAAGAAAGTGAGAGATGGAGGGCGTGAAGAAGAGAGATAGTGGAGGGAGAGAGAACAGGAAGTGAGAGAGGGAAGAGAGAGATATTGGGTGAGTAGAGAGGAAGAGAGAGATATATATGCGGTGATCATGCACTTTTAAAGTGTATTTATCTTCTTTTTCTAAAAAAAAATATGATAGAAAATACAAAGAAAGAAAATAAGAGAAAAGGAAAATGTCTTGTGATCTTGATCATCAATTTCCGTATACCGATCTCATGTGTCTATTTAGGTAATTAAAATTTCTACCAAAAAATGATTTATATAAAAAAAAAAAAAAAAAAAGACGACAATGGAGCTAGGAGACTGGCCTCCACACCTCATCACTAGACAGAACAGAAACTGAAATTATGAATCTAACTATCCCAAAAAAGATTAAAAAAAAGAAGCTAGCATGTTCATACCTTGATTAATTCTGGGCTTAGAGAGAGAAAGGAGTGCTCCGTCCAACCTGTAAATATTAGGTACTAATATGAATTCTTACTCGGACATTAGTTGATAAATAGAATTCACGAATAAATAGAGTTGATATGAACATAGTACTAACACTTCTCCTGATTTTCTAAAACAAAAAAAACAAAAAACAAAAAAACAAAAAAACAAAACAAAAAAAAAACAAACAAACAAACAGACCTTACAATTAGGAGATCGGGATTTTAAAAAATGATTTATATAGTACTTTTAAAGTGTATTTGTCTTCTTTCAAAAAAAAAAAAAAAAAAAGACGACAATGGAGCTAGGAGACTGGCCTCCACACCTCATCACTAGACAGAACAGAAACTGAAATTATGAATCTAACTATCCCAAAAAAGATTAAAAAAAAGAAGCTAGCATGTTCATACCTTGATTAATTCTGGGCTTAGAGAGAGAAAGGAGTGCTCCGTCCAACCTTTGAGAGAGAGAGAGAGAGAGAGGGAATCGGTAAATTTAAATCTACTATATAGGTTATGAGCAGAAGAAGAGAGATGGTAGAAGAGAATATATATATATATGAAAGTTTGAATATATTCATGAGGGTCAAACTAATTAAATTAGGGTTGAAGGTCCTGATGTGCTGTATCGTAGTCGGCTCCATTCACTGTACTATAATTGGGTTCTCTCTCGTGTTGATCAAGCTTTAATTTATCATGCTGGTAATATAGGAAATAAAGCTGATGAGATCACATGCATAGCAATAGAAATTAGCAAGGCTTCATTTGGTAAATGACTAGTTTTCTTTCTTTCTTTCTTTCTTTTGTGCATGGAATAATTGCATCTGCATTAATGACTGCTTTTAAACGTACAATTAATGTCGCAAATTTTCTACAACTTAAGGTTTTCCGAAGGAAGAATATATTATTAAAAAGAGGAGAGATCTTCTCTTTAAGGGAAAATATATATATATATATATATGTATATATATATACACACCATTTTCAGGGGAGGTGCAGCTACCGGAGAGGACTGAAAGAAAGTGAGAGATGGAGGGCGTGAAGAAGAGAGATAGTGGAGGGAGAGAGAACAGGAAGTGAGAGAGGGAAGAGAGAGATATTCGGTGAGTAGAGAGGAAGAGAGAGATATATATGCGGTGATCATGCACTTTTAAAGTGTATTTATCTTCTTTTTCTAAAAAAAAATATGATAGAAAATACAAAGAAAGAAAATAAGAGAAAAGGAAAATGTCTTGTGATCTTGATCATCAATTTCCGTATACCGATCTCATGTGTCTATTTAGGTAATTAAAATTTCTACCAAAAAATGATTTATATAGTACTTTTAAAGTGTATTTGTCTTCTTTCAAAAAAAAAAAAAAAAAAAGACGACAATGGAGCTAGGAGACTGGCCTCCACACCTCATCACTAGACAGAACAGAAACTGAAATTATGAATCTAACTATCCCAAAAAAGATTAAAAAAAAGAAGCTAGCATGTTCATACCTTGATTAATTCTGGGCTTAGAGAGAGAAAGGAGTGCTCCGTCCAACCTTTGAGAGAGAGAGAGAGAGAGAGGGAATCGGTAAATTTAAATCTACTATATAGGTTATGAGCAGAAGAAGAGAGATGGTAGAAGAGAATATATATATATATGAAAGTTTGAATATATTCATGAGGGTCAAACTAATTAAATTAGGGTTGAAGGTCCTGATGTGCTGTATCGTAGTCGGCTCCATTCACTGTACTATAATTGGGTTCTCTCTCGTGTTGATCAAGCTTTAATTTATCATGCTGGTAATATAGGAAATAAAGCTGATGAGATCACATGCATAGCAATAGAAATTAGCAAGGCTTCATTTGGTAAATGACTAGTTTTCTTTCTTTCTTTCTTTCTTTTGTGCATGGAATAATTGCATCTGCATTAATGACTGCTTTTAAACGTACAATTAATGTCGCAAATTTTCTACAACTTAAGGTTTTCCGAAGGAAGAATATATTATTAAAAAGAGGAGAGATCTTCTCTTTAAGGGAAAATATATATATATATATATATGTATATATATATACACACCATTTTCAGGGGAGGTGCAGCTACCGGAGAGGACTGAAAGAAAGTGAGAGATGGAGGGCGTGAAGAAG